AACGCTCTACCTCTACACAGCACAACAAATGGTCAAGTATAGATGTTTCGTAGCACTCTAGCCGAAATAGCCAGATGCCTGAAACTTGGATGCAAATTGAACGATACTATAGGAATTATCCTTTTTAGCAACCAACAAATCAATCCACTCAGTAACTTACAAAAAACCCACAGAAATAGTTCACACAAAGCCCATGGAATTCGATAGAGAAATTATTAGGAAAATGCAACCGCTACAGGAGAAGACGATTGACCAGGTAAACGAGAATAGGACCTATAAGGACTATCAGGTAGGCGAAAAAGTTTTTCTAAAAGCAAATAAAAGACTAGGTAACAAGCTCTCACCACTATGTTCGCAGGAAACAACGGTCTTAATTAGAGGGCGGGTGGTCCACAAAGACAATCTACGCTAACCATCCTTAGCTAGACTCCCGCCCCTCTTTTATACTTTTTCATATATTATATATTCTTCTATATTAAATACATTATATAAAATACATTATAATATGGGCACTAATGGCTGTAAAGACGAACGCGACGGTGAAACTGAAAGACTACACGAACGCGGACTATACCCCAAAGGGGACAGTGGCATTGTAGTCAGGGAGTCTTTCGGATACCTACAACATGCAACGAACATAACGACCGAGGACTTTGCTGACCAGACGGAAGCGCTAACGAGAACATTTACCGATGACCACAGACTACCGGTTATAGCGGCGGACATCAGACACATTCGCAACTTGGTAGCCACCCTAAAAATCCATCATAGGGCCGCTAGGAGTATAAACTTTATTAGGACAAACCCTAAAAGTTGTTGCAGGTACACCCGGCTTTAATGATTGGGAGCAAGTGAAATTGAAACAAGACCAACTAATAAAAACAAATGAAGAACAAACGGAATTAAATATCACATTCCAAAACTAAAGAACAATATACAATTTTCGAGACAAATAAAGAACAAATTAAACAAAAGAAATCGCTGTAGTCGAGTGCCGCGACTGTAAGATACCCGATACTGTTTTACACAATTTTACAATATTTATTTTGCTAGTGGAAATTGTGAGAGAGTGCATGTTAAGTTACTGATAGTGACGTCCTTGCCCATGTGAGGCCTTATAACCTAAATTTCTTTATAAATAGCGAAATAATGTTCTTGTTCAAACATGAACACGTTTTATAGATATATTTTGGTAAACCGTATTATACAATTAGGTCATAAAACTGTAACCCATGTATGGGATGTCCCAAGAAGGGTCGAATATACAATTAGGTCATAAAACTGTAACCCAAATATGGGATGTCCCAAGAAGGGTCGAATATCCTAGGCACCTAAGCGATAACATATGTGCGATAATAAATACCCAAAGATAACCAGGTATGTCTGCGTGGGTCATTAGATAAGAGTAAAATAAGATTCTCATGTTAGCTACGTAGGAGTTGAATATTAATAAAGAAATCAGTTTTGAAATAATAACTCAACAAATGAAGACGTCCTTATTTGGGGTCTCTCTATTTATTTCGGTCCTTCGAGCAGGATCTCTAAAAGTCATCCCCCACCAGTGGTAAGAGACTAAGAGTTATAAACCAGCACCTTAAATCTAAGGTTGCGAAATAAAATCTCTTGTTACCCCCCACCCCCGTGGTAAGGAACAGAGAATAATAAATAATTAAAATAAACATAAATATTCAGAAGAATTTTTATTGTTTTAATTTAAAAACACCTTTGTTAGGCTTAAAATATAGCCAAGGCTTGAGGCCTAAACATCAGCAATACGGTCATCGGTATATAGTGCGGTAAACAAAGTGCTAATCGACAAAATCCGGTAGTATCGACGCAAAAATATAAAATTTTCGTGCGATATATAAAAAATATAAAAATTTACGGCGAGTACATTTGCGGCGACTACGGCAGCGGAAAATACTACAGCGGCATCTACAACTACAGCATCGGCAGCATCTACAACTACAGCATCGGCAACCGCAACTACAGCTCAAGCGAATACTTATGTTCCATGTGCATTAAATTGCATCATACGATGCTTCATATAAATATACAAAAACGGGGAAAGGTCAACACTTGTGTGACTGCCACTCAGGCATTACTTGCAACAGCTAGAATTCAAGTGAAATCTGCCAACGGCAATTTTGAAAATTTAAGAGCTCTCATTGATAGTGGATCGCAAAGCACTATCATATCAGAGGAGGCAGCACAAATACTAAAACTGCCAAAAATCAAAACTAAGACGGAAATTAGTGGGAAATCTTCTACGGATACTTGTGTATCCAAATATAAAATTAAAATAACAATAAAACCTCCTAACTATTCACAAATTTTAAAGAAGGGTATAGCAAAAATTAATGGTCTGTTAGGCCAGAATACAAATTTCGGTTGGATCATATCTGGATGCACTAAGTCAAAGGGTACTCATTCGATAGTGGCAACTACTATCGAAGTGCAAGACTTAGAACTTTTTTGGGACCTAGAAAATGAAGATAAAAATGATGTAGAGACCGAAGTTTGTGAAAACGATTTTATGAAAACAACCTCTATTTCAAATGGTATGTATATTGTTCAAATTCCATTTAAGGACGAAACGTCCTTAGTGGAATCAAAGCCGCAAGCAATGGCTCGATTGATAAACATGGAGAAGAAGTTTCCGCGAAATGAAAAACTTCAAGATGCCTATAAATTGTTTATGAAAGAATATATTGATCTTGGGCGTATGGTTGAGTCGAAGAGGGAAGGAAAATACTACCTACCCCATCAAGCGGTACTTAGGGAATACGTCATATCAGAGGACATAGAAAAAATGTACAGACAAATATTCATTGATGAAAAATATCAAGAATACCAATATATATTATGGAGAGACTCTCCTGAAGACAAAATAAAATCGTACAAATTAAAAACAGTAACCTATGGGACTGCCTCAGCTCCATATTTAGCTACTAGAGTTCTAGTAGATATAGCAGATAATTGTAAGAATGATGAAATTGGAAGAATAATTAGAATTTCTACATGGGATGGGAATTTCTACATGGATGATCTCATGACAGGAGCAAATTCAGTGGAAAGTGCCATAAACATTATAGAGCAAATTTCTAGCGAATTAAAAAAAGGTAATATGAATTTACGGAAGTGGATTTCGAATAATAAAGAAATAATAAAAGTAGTAGAAGATACTGGCGAAAACAAGGTAATAAGCTGATTGAGCTGCATGGGTTTGCAGACGCCTCTGAAAAAGCATATGCGGCAGTAGTATATGCTAAAGTAGGAAGATTGGTTACAATATTAGCTAGTAAAAGCAGGGTAAATCCAATCAAAAATAAGAAAACAATTCCGAAACTAAAACTGTGCGCAGCTCATCTGTTGAGTAAACTAATACAAAAGGTCAAAGAATTGATTGATAATGCAGCCAAGATATACGCGTGGAGTGATTCTACTATAACGTTGGCTTGGATTAAAACTGGTCAAAGCAAAGTCAAATTTATTAAATATAGGACAGATTATATTCGTAGATATACAGAAGTAGAGTGGAATCACGTTAAATCAGAAGATAATCCAGCGGACGCAGCGTCAAGGGGAATTTCGCCAAGTGAACTGATAAATTTTGATCTTTGGTGGAATGGGCCAAATTGGTTAAAAGAATTAAAAGAAAATTGGCCGTCTCAGTCAAAAGCTGAGGAAGAAACAGGTGTCCATACCGTGCTGACAGCTGATAGGGATATTATTCATAATCTCTTAGAAAAATATTCCTGCATACAAAAATTAAAAACAGTTATATGCTACATAGTTCGATTTATAAATATGAAAACAAAGAAAATATCTTATCAGGGTTATTTATCGGTAAAGGAAATTAGATATGCAGAACAAATAATTATAAAAAATGAGCAGGCAAATCAATTTGGTTCAGAGCTAAACAGTTTAAATAATAATAAAGTCAAAATTTCTTCAAAAATTCTAGGTTTACATCCACTTATTGATCAGGATAAAATTATCAGAGTAGACGGTAGATTACAAAATTACAATGCTAGATTCAAGATAAAACATCCAATTATTCTCGACAAAGGGCATATTTCTTCATTAATTATAAAGGATCCTCATAACCAAACTTTACATGGTGGAATAAATTTGAAGAGAATATGAATGAGAATTCATCAAAATATTGGATATTTGGATTGAGAAATTCATTAAAGAAAAAATTAAATGAGTGTACTAAATGTGCAAGATATCGACAGGTCACGGCACAACAACAATGTCGTACCCATTTCTAAATACATGTATTGATTACGCAGGACCATGTTATATCTTTAAAAAGAGCGTCGAGTACTTGGGCTTCATAGTGTCACAAGGGGGACTGCAAACTTCACCTGAAAAGGTAAAGTCTATTAAGGAATTTCCCCCACATTCATCTTGTTTAAGAGCAAGGTGAGACACATAATCAGAACCCCATTTGGGAAAATCTGATGAAAATAAGCAATACACACGCAATAGCACCGACTAGTGGAGTCCTTCCCTAGCACTTCTTTCAAACAGACGAAAAACTTCGTACAGGACATAACGGACTCAACCGAACAGAAAGAAATTGTCATAACAGAACACAACAGGACTCACCAAGCAGCACAAGAAAATGTAAAACAAATTCTTAGGGACTATTTATTCCCAAAAATGTTTCGGTTAGCAACAAAAATAACATCAAATTGAAAAACCTGTTCCATCACCCATCAAAGCAAATGGTTGCAGAAACTCTTATACCCTCATTCGTGGGAGAATTCTACACATTGATATTTTCTCAACCAATGGAGCCCTTTTCCTTACATGCGTCGATAAATTCTCGAAATTCGCCATAGTGCTAAACATCGCTTGAAGGGCCATAGTACACATAATTACACATAATAAATTTCTTTCCGAAAACAACAACAATCTACTGCGATAATAAAAGATCGCTAAATTCCGAGACTATTAAAACTACTTTGTCAAATCATTTCATTATCAACACTTCCAACGCTCTACCTCTACACAGCACAACAAATGGTCAAGTATAGAGGTTTCGTAGCACTCTAGCCGAAATAGCCAGATGCCTGAAACTTGGATGCAAATTGAACGATACTATAGGAATAATCATTTTTAGCAACCAACAAATCAATCCACTCAGTAACTAACAAAAAACCCACAGAAATAGTTCACACAAAGCCCATGGAATTCGATAGAGAAATTATTAGGAAAATGCAACCGCTACAGCAGAAGACGATTGACCAGGTAAACGAGAATAGGACCTATAAGGACAATCAGGTAGGCGAAAAAGTTTTTCTAAAAGCAAATTAAAGACTAGGTAAAAAGCTCTCACCACTATGTTCGCAGGAAACAACGGTCTTAAATAGAGGGAGGGTGGTCCACAAAGACAATCTACGCTAACCATCCTTGGCTAGACTCCCGACCCTCTTTTATACTTTTTCATATTTTTTATATTCTTCTATATTAAATACCTTATATGAAATACATTATAGTATACTGAATGACTACACGAACGCGGGGTATACCCCATAGAGGACAGTGACATTGTAGTCTGGGAGTCTTTCGGATACCTACAACATGCAACGAACATGACGACCGAGGACTTTGCTGACCAGACGGAAGCGCTAACGAAAACATTTACCGATGACCACAGACTACCGGTTATAGCGGCGGAAATCAGACACATTCCCAAGATGGTAGCCACCTTAAAAATCACTCATAGCGATGCCAGGAGTATAAACTTTATTAGGACAAACCTTAAAAGTTGTTGCAGGTACTTTAATGATTGGGAGCAAGTGAAATTCAAACAAGACCAACTAATAAAAACAAATGAAGAACAAACGGAATTAAATATCACATTCCAAAGAACAATATAAAATTTTCGAGACAAATAAAGAACAAATTAAACAAAAGAAAACGCTATAGTCGAGTGCCGCGAATGTAAGTTACCCGATACTGTTTTACACAATTTTACAATATTCATTTTGCTAGTGGAAATTGTGAGAGAATGCATGTTGAGTTACTGATAGTGACGTCCTTGCCCATGTGAGGCCTTATAACCTAAATTTCTTTATAAATAGCGAAATAATGTTCTGATTTAAAAAAGCTTTGGTAAATCGATGGATATTAACAGAAATAAGTTTTATAAGGTCAAACTAAGGCATCATAATAATATTATAGACGCCACAGTTTCCCACTAGTGCCATGTTGCAGGCATTTCTTATAGGTCCCGAGATTTTTGCATTTTTGGTTTTCCGGGTTTTGTCGGCGTTAGGGTGGGAGTGGTTAGATGAAAAAAAAACTAATTGCATCATAAAAACCTACATGTTTAATCCGAACTTTCTATCTCTTATAGTTGCCGAAATATCAGCTTTTCTAGAAAATGGGAAAACTGTCTTTTGAGCCTTGTGGGCGTAAAGGTGGGTGTTTCCGCTATAAGATGCGCTGCCATCTAAAGATTATATAAACTAAATTTGAACTTTCTAGCTCTAATAGCTCCTTAGATTTCAGCAATTTTAGTTTTTCGCGGTTTCTGGGCGTTATAGTGGGCGTGGCAGGATGCTGTAATGAACTTGCACTGCGTAGGGACCTCAAGAATCTTCATGCTTAATCTCAACTTTGTATCTAGTATAGTTCCTGAGATCTCAGCGTTCATTCGAACTGACGGAGCAGACGGACTAGGCTCAATCCGTCTGATCAAGAATATATATATTTCAGAGGGTCGGAAACGCTTCATTCTACCTGTTACATACTTTTCAACGAATCTAATATACCCTTTTACTCTACGAATAACGGGTAAAAAAATTTGGGACAAATAAAGAAAATAATCTTTTAGAAATAATTTTTGCTAAAAATAGATTCGGCATCACAGATCTGCATAACGTTCTAATGGGATTGACCCAAGCAAAATGAAATATTGTAAGTCCGGCAATTCTACATAGCTCCGACATTGGTGAATTTAAAGACAAGCTGCCTATTAACATTAGTTTGATAGAAATTTAAAAGCATATAGTAGTAGCATATAGCATATAGTATACTAATTGTTTTTCAAAATTCCGATATCATTCATTTCCTAATCCTAGGCTTTTTTAAAGAAGATAACAGTCTATCCGGTCCAGATACCACCATCTAAAGACCAAAGTCCACGCCAAAACAGGAATTAACGATGACTTGGAACCATTGGGTCAGCAGCATTAGCATTAGCACAAGAAGCTGAATCAAGTAACGAAAGAAGCGTTTTTGCGCCACTTTCGCCCGACACAATGAGGAGAAAGCATACAAGCCGAACAACCAGCGACAAGAAGGTTGAAAAAATTCCCAGACCCATTCAGAAATTCAGGAGCAATTAGGAAAACTCCTCACTTGTTAGGACTCAAAAAGGAGCCAACAACCAGAATGATTCCTTTGGACAGAGACCACACATAAGCACAGGAACTCGTCAGGGTCAACCAGCACCAGAGCCAATGGAGATCGACCCCTCCTTCAGGATTAAATTTAGACAGCCCACAACATGGCAAAAAGGGCAGTCAGCAAGGCAACAAAAAATGAACCTCATGCCAGAAGAAAAATCTGACGACGAAGATTATGACGCCGTTGCGCAGACTTGTGCTACTGAAGTAGAAGACGATCTTGAGGAAGAAGACTCATGTAATTTTTAGAATAAAATCCCTGCTCCCCTACTTTACACACAGGCACCTCAAAAAATAGATTACTCCAATCCCGGGACTGAAAGAAATTGTGGCAGCGGAGAAACCCTTTATTGTAAAGTCAATTCATGGCTTTACCAAAATAAATAAAAAATGTTTAGTTTCGTTGTTTAACATAAAAACACCTTTTTTATCTTAAATAACCTTAACACTTCGATGTAATTATCGGCCTCGACTTGCTTAAACAAGCGAACGCGATTCAATAGGTCAGAAAATGTCAACTTTATTAAAATTTATGATGAAGATGTTCCCGTGGAACATCTTAGTTAAAGCTTAGTTAAAGCCACATTCGATAAAATGATTGTCAAAAATTATAAATATCCAGACGAAGCACTTCCATTCAATATTAACACTATAGCCATAATAAAAACTGATGGGGAACCGGTGTACTCCAAGTCGTACCCACACCCCATGGGTGTAACCAAATTCGTCAATGCAGAGGTAAAACAACTTTTAGCGGACGGCGTGATAAGGCCATCCCATATAACAACCCTACCTGGGTTGTGGATAAGAAAGGTATAGACCAAAATGGGGTTAAGAAGAAGCGATTAGTTATCGGCTTCAGGAAATTAAATCAGATAACAGTAGATGATAGATATCCTATCCCAACAATTTCGAAAATACTGTCAAATATGGGCGAATATGGGTATTTCACTGGACTCGACCTCAAGTCAGGCTTCCACCAGATAGAGGTGGCAGAAGAGGACAGGGAAAAAACGCTTTTTCCATAAATAATGGCCAATACGAATTTTGTAGAATGCTATTTGGACTTAAAAACGCCCCAAGCATCTTCCAAAGGGCTATCGATGACGTCCTAAGAGAGGGAATCTTTAAAATATGCTACGTAGACGACGTTATAATATTTTCAAAAACAAAAGAAGGCCACGACAATGACGTGGACTGGGTTTAATCCAAGCTCCTAGAAGCAGGTATGAGAGTATCCCAAGAAATCGAAGTTCTTCAAAAAGAACGTCGAGTACTTGGGCTTCGTAGTGTCACAAGGGGGACTGCAAACTTCACCTGAAAAGGTAAAGTCTATTAAGGAATTTCCCCCACATTCATCATGTTTAAGAGCAAGGTGAGGCACATAAACAAAGCCCGAGCCGGAAAAATCCGATTGAAACATTACGAGATGTTGTACACGCGGAGGTAGTAAACGCAATAGCACCGACTAGTAAAGTCCTTCCCTAGCACTTCTTTCAAACAGACGAAAAACTTCGTACATCGCAAAACGGACTCAACCGAACAGAATGAAACTGTCATAACAGAACACATAAGGGCTCACCAAGCAGCACAAGAAAATGAAAAACAAATTCTTAGGGACTATTTATTACCAAAAATGTTTCCGTTAGCAACAGAAATAGCATCAAATTGAAAAACCTGTTCCACCACCCATCAAAGCAAATGGTTGCAGAAACTCTTATACCCTCACTCGTGGCAGAATTCTACACATTGATATTTTCTCAACCAATGGAGCCCTTTTCCTTTTCGCCATAGTGCAAAACATCGCTTCAAGGGCCATAGTAGACATAAAAACACCATTATTACACATAATAAATTTCTTTCCGAAAACAAGAACAATCTACTGCGATAATAAAAGATCGCTAAATTCCGAGAATATTAAAACAACTTTGTTAAATCATTTCATTATTAACACTTCCAACGCTCTACCTCTACACAGCACAACAAATGGTCAAGTATAGAGGTTTCATAGCACTCTAGCAGAAATAGCCAGATGCCTGAAACTTGGACACATCTATTACACATAATAAGTTTCTTTCCGAAAACAACAACAATCTACTGCGATAATAAAAGATCGCTAAATTCCGAGAATATTGAAACAACTTTGTTAAATCATTTCATTATTAACACTTCCAACGCTCTACCTCTACACAGCACAACAAATGGTCAAGTATAGAGGTTTCATAGCACTCTAGCCGAAATAGCCAGATGCCTGAAACTTGGATGCAAATTGAACGATACTATAGAAATAATCCATTTATCAATCAACAAATCAATCCACTCAGTAACTTACAAAAAACCCACAGAAATAGTTCACACAAAGCCCATGGAATTCGATAGAGAAACTATTAGGAAAATTCAACCGGTACAGGAGAAGATGATTGACCAGGTAAACAAGAAAAGGACCTATAAGGACTATCAGGTAGGCGAAAAAGTTTTTCTAAAGGCAAATAAAAGACTAGGTAAAAAGCTCTCACCACTATGTTCGCAGGAAACAACGGTCTTAAATAGAGGGAGGGTGGTCCTCAAAAACAATCTACGCTAACCGTCCTTGGCTAGACTCCCGACCCTTTTTTATACTTTTTCATATTTTTTATATTCTTCTATATTAAATACATTATATAAAATACATTAAAATATTGGCACTAATGGCTGTAAAGACGGACGCGACGGTGAAACTGAATGACTACGCGAACGCAAACTATACCCCATAGAGGACAGTGACATTGTAGTCTGGGAGTCTTTCGGATACCTTTCGGATACCATGCAGCGAACATGACGACCGAGGATGATGACCAAACGGAAGCGCTAACGAGAACATTTACCGATGACCACAGAATACCGGATATAGCGACGGACATCACACACATTCACAAGTTGGTAGCCACCCCAAAAATCCTTCATAGGGCCGCTAGGAGTATAAACTTTATTAGGACAAACCTTAAAAGGTGTTGCAGGTACACCCGACTTTAATGATTGGGAGCAAGTGAAGTTCAAACAAGACCATGTAATAAAAAGAAATGAAGAATAAACGGAATTAAATATCAAATTCCAAAAATAAAGAACAATAAAAATATTTCAAGACAAATAAAGAACAAATTAAACAAAAGAAAACGATATAGGCGAGTGCCGCGACTGTAAGTTACCCGATACTGTTTTACACAATTTTACAATATTCATTTTGCTAGTGGAAATTGTGAGAGAATGCATGTTGAGTTACTGATAGTGACGTCCTTGCCCATGTGAGGCCTTATAACCTAAATTTCTTTATAAATAGCGAAATAATGTTCTGATTTAAAAAATCTTTGGTAAATCGATAGATATTAACAGAAATAAGTTTTATAAGGTCAAACTAAGGCATCATAATAATATTATAGACGCCACAGTTTCCCACTAGTGCCATGTTGCAGGCATTTCTTATAGGTCCCGAGATTTTTGCATTTTTGGTTTTCCGGGTTTTGTCGGCGTTAGGGTGGGAGTGGTTAGATGAAAAAAAACTAATTGTATCATAAAAACCTACATGTTTAATCCGAACTTTCTATCTCTTATAGTTGCCGAAATATCAGCTTTTCTAGAAAATGGGAAAACTGTCTTTTGAGCCTTGTGGGCGTAAAGGTGGGTGTTTCCGCTATAAGATGCGCTGCCATGTAAAGATTATATAAACTAAATTTGAACTTTCTAGCTCTAATAGCTCCTAAGATTTCAGCAATTTTAGTTTTTCGCGGTTTCTGGGCGTTATAGTGGGCGTGGCAGGATGCTGTAATGAACTTGCACTGCGTAGGGACCTCAAGAATCTTCATGCTTAATCTCAACTTTGTATCTAGTATAGTTCCTGAGATCTCAGCGTTCATTCGAACTGACGGACGGGCAGACGGACTAGGCTCAATCCGTCTGATCAAGAATATATATATTTCAGAGGGTCGGAAACGCTTCATTCTACCTGTTACATACTTTTCAACGAATCTAATATACCCTTTTACTCTACGAATAACGGGTAAAAAAATTTGGGACAAATAAAGAAAATAATCTTTTAGAAATAATTTTTGCTAAAAATAGATTCGGCATCACAGATCTGGATAACGTTCTAATGGGATTGACCCAAGCAAAATTAAATATTGTAAGTCCGGCAATTCTACATAGCTCCGACATTGGTGAATTTAAAGACAAGCTGCCTATTAACATTAGTTTAATAGAAATTTAAAAGCATATAGTAGTAGCATATAGCATATAGTATACTAATTGTTTTTCAAAATTCCGATATCATTCATTTTCTTATTAAATTTCCTAATCCTAGGCTTTTTTAAAGAAGATAACAGTCTATCCGGTCCAGATACCACCATCTAAAGACCAAAGTCCACGCCAAAACAGGAATTAACGATGACTTGGAACCATTGGGTCAGCAGCATTAGCATTAGCACAAGAAGCTGAATCAAGTAACGAAAGAAGCGTTTTTGCGCCACTTTCGCCCGACACAATGAGGAGAAAGCATACAAGCCGAACAACCAGCGACAAGAAGGTTGAAAAAATTCCCAGACCCATTCTGAAATTCAGGAGCAATTAGGAAAACTCCTCACTTGTTAGGACTCAAAAAGGAGCCAACAACCAGAATGATTCCTTTGGACAGAGACCACACATAAGCACAGGAACTCGTCAGGGTCAACCAGCACCAGAGCCAATGGAGATCGACCCCTCCTTCAGGATTAAATTTAGACAGCCCACAACATGGCAAAAAGGGCAGTCAGCAAGGCAACAAAAAATGAACCTCATGCCAGAAGAAAAATCTGACGACGAAGATTATGACGCCGTTGCGCAGACTTGTGCTACTGAAGTAGAAGACGATCTTGAGGAAGAAGACTCATGTAATTTTTAGAATAAAATCCCTACTCCCCTACTTTACACACAGGCACCTCAAAAAATAGATTACTCCAATCCCGGGACTGAAAGAAATTGTGGCAGCGGAGAAACCCTTTACTGTAAAATCAATTCATGGCTTTACCAAAATAAATAAAAAATGTTTAGTTTCGTTGTTTAACATAAAAACACCTTTTTTTATCTTAAATAACCTTAACACTTCGATGTAATTATCGGCCTCGACTTGCTTAAACAAGCGAATGCGATTCAATAGGTCAGAAAATGTCAACTTTATTAAAATTTATGATGAAGATGTTCCCGTGGAACATCTTAGTTAAAGCTTAGTTAAAGCCACCTTCGATAAAATGATTGTCAAAAATTATAAAGATCCAGACGAAGCACTTCCATTCAATATTAACACTATAGCCATAATAAAAACTGATGGGGAACCGGTGT